AACGGGAAAATATCACACGTTTCTTCTAACGCGCGAGATAAAGAACAAACGTGACGATTTCGTCGCACTTTAAGCGCACGTATAACTAAACGCTCTCTCACTCTCTCTCTCTCTCTCTCTCTCTCTCTCTCTCTCTCTCTCTCTCTCTTACTTTTACATAAGTTACCACATAGAAATAAATTTTATTAAAAATTCTTTTATCTTAATTAACACGTGTGGGTTTATGTATTTTTCCTAAATATCTAATAAAATATTTAGAAAACACATTATTTTTTAAGTATATGTATATATATATATGTCTAATATTTTATAATCATTTAAAAAGCACATATAAGACCAACGTCTGTTATTTAGAATTATTATACGTAACATATAAATTAAAATACATACAAGTTACTACGCTGTCATATAATGTAAATTTGAACAGACAAATGAAATCAATATTAATCCAAACTATTTGATTAATAAAACTAAAGTGTCCAACATATTCCGACCGTTGATCAAATACACATAATATTGATGCGGTTTTAAAATATTACGAGCGTGACGCATTTCTGTTGTTTTTACTCGGCGATCGCGTGTTCTCAGATAATCAGTAAATAGGCAAATACTTGAATCGTGTGAACACAATCGATCAGGCGAAGTTTATTTAGCGTTTATCGGAGCCGGACGGATCGTCTTAGCGAGCGCTGCGTAAATATTTATCATTTATGTCGCTATGCTTGTCCTCCGTGTTACCGGATCGATCGATCGATCTCTCATACAGGAATATTTCCATCGTTTTTGCAGCCTGAGATCCGAGCAGCCTAGCGGCTTGGACACGGGCGGAGTTCGACTGGAGCTGAGTAAGGCCCTCGATCTTTGGGCCAGGAATTCGAAGCTCACCTTCCAGGAGATCAACAGTGACCACGCCGACATTCTGGTCTATTTCCACCGGTAAGTTTAATTTAAACTTTAATTGAAACTTCACTTAATTTAACAATCTACTTGGCGTGTGCATATATACATATTTTAAATAACTCCGCGATTGAAATTGTTTTAATGCTGACATACTCGTTAAGCAAGAGTGATATTTCATGGTGATAAATATTTCGTTATAGAGTAGAAAATTTTAGGAGTAATTAAATCATTATTATAGTAATATAAATGAATAATAATTATTAAAGCATTATTATAGAGAATGCTAATTAGAATGCTATTTAATAATAGATCTGGACATGGTGATAATTTACACATAGCTTCTAAACAGAAAGTATTCCGACGCCTAAAAAGTAATTATTATAAATGAAACGTAAATAAATCGCCTATATGAGCCTCACTAATTATTAGTGCGTAAATAATAGATTGCTAAGTTAAGATATAATTTACAAACAATTGGAAAATATACTTATGAAGTTAACTGCAAACGTTTCGACTCTGTATTTGACAATAAGGCCATTAAGTGTAAAAGTCAAGTACAAACTAAAACTCGTAGTTTATACTTGACTTCCGCAAAGAGGACTCTTCCGACTGAAGGAGGACTCAAATTCAGAATCGGTATAACGTTTACAGTAAACTTTGTTAAGTACAGTCTCCAATTGTTTATGAATTATATTTTAACGCCTCATAAATACAACATATTATTTACTTACTTTGTTGATTTTTGGAGTTACACAAAACTATTTTTATTTTAAATTATTATGTATTATAATAATTTAAATCAACTAGTTTTGATATTTGACAATGATATAAAAACTAGGTTTAAAAGCGTTCAGCTTCTAGCTAAAACTTTTAGAAATTTTAGCAGTGGCACACCGATATTCGAAACTGACACTGTGTATGTGACAAAATAATAATGCGACGCGATGCCATTTAACTATATGTAAAATGGCAAACTCGCGATAGATATTAATCCTGTTGCACTGTTCAGGTCATCTATTTGACTCAAAATAATTTTTATTTCCCTGCTACATTTTTATGTTATAAGTGAGCATTTTCACATTTCACTTTTATCTGACTTTGTTTTATAGCTTCAAAAATATCAATTTGACTAAAAGTTTTAACAATTTTTTCATTTTTATCTAAAATTTTTAAATGTATAAAATAACAAGTCGGGTTATATTGATCATACAGCACATTCGAACAGAATAGCAGGATTAAATTCGATGATAAATGATAATTTTGTTGGCAGAACGCCAGATAACATTCGTTGCGCATTGTTCAGGGGTTATCATGGAGACGGATATCCGTTCGATGGCAGAGGTCAGATCCTGGCGCACGCATTCTTTCCGGGCAAAGATCGCGGTGGAGACGCTCACTTCGACGAGGAGGAGATATGGTTGCTAGAGGACGAGAGCAACGAGGAAGGTAAGCGAATCAGAATTTCTTCTCTCGATGATTGTATCTCAAATTATTCAAATTCCTCGTGCGCGAATAATTGGAATGTACGAACGATTAGGTAAAATGGTAAATATTATACGAACGATGAGGCAAAAGCGAATAGACAAAAACTAGTTACTCCTGATAAATATTGTTTAGGACTTCAATTTTTCCTGCCAAATGAGCTATTTATTCGAGCTTCTCTCTCGTCGAACTCGAATTGTCGAAATTCTTTAAGTGTTGCACGAGTTGGTCAAACATCGATTTGAATAATCATATATTTTTACGAATACTTGATTTTTCTCTTTGTATGTGTCTTTTGAAATTCCCAAAATTTTCCACATTGAACTTCTCTTCTATTATCTCGTGGCATGGACTTTTGCGTAATAATAATCATTCAAGCCATTCGCGTTTTGGTGGCGCGCCAACTCGGTCATCCGATACAAGGCACGGTCACGCCTGTGAGAAAGAGGGCTCGGAATAACTCCAGAAAGCGATTCTTTCGATTCTATCGAGACAGGGCGTTATATCACCGGATCGATATAAAACGTTGGATGGCGTTTTATATAAAGGTATTCACGAACGTATGTAAATGTCTGAAGAATTGTTTGCAAGCTTCCTTTTTTGATTCTATGTGTATTTTCTACTTCTCTTTTAATGCAATAAGAATTGTTTTGCCTTGGATTTTTCGAACAATGGTACACATACGATATGTTTGCCAATATTAATTTTATTAAATAATTTTTGTCAAATATAAAGCCGCACTGTAATTTTATTAAATAAAATTTTATTAAATAAAATTACAGCGCAGCTTTATATTTGACAAATTCGATTTCAGCATGTATTTTCTTCCTTTTAACGTGACAAAAATCAAAATTTTGTATTTTTTAATTATAATACATTACCAAATATATGTTTAAAAATTAAACGGATGATTGCTTAATTATTTTCACGAGTCTTTTTATATAACTAAAGTTTCTCTTTATATACAAAATTAATTAAAATATTTTTAATAAATATAGGTAGCCGAATAATTTAATATAAATGATAAATGACGTATAAAGTTATATAAAGTTTAAAATTATTAAAGTCAGATTTTATTTTAATATCTTCAAAAAACTTGTTTGTGCAATACGTGTACCTGTCTAATTGATACATACATATTCTTATAATTACACATTATTACATGGTTATAAAATTTTTCGAGCGCTGATGCTTAATACATCACACCTGTTTTCTTCAGCAGATCGAACGCTTCAACTCATTATTTTCTTTGACCGCATTTTGATGAATTAATTGAAACAGTTATCGATAAGTCTGTTCTTTTCAGCCGACTTCTTGCTGCACTGTTCCTCTTTTCTCTTGTTCTTTTCACGTAGCAAGAAGTTCACTTAAAAAAAACAAGCTTAATTCTTAATGAAAATTAACAAGAAAGTGCAAGCCCAGACAGAGACAGACAACCTGTTGGAATGATTAACGATGTTTCCTTAACAGGTCGACAATCGCGTGTACGTTTAATTAGCGCACAATCGAGACGACGTGACGATGTTGTAGGCGAAAGCTAAGAGAAGAGAGATGATAGGGTTGAGAGAGAGAGAGAGAGAGAGAGAGAGA